TTGTTTTATTGCCAGTGAAAAACATACTCTTAAGAGAGCTCATTTACTTTGCATATTATGGAACAAAGGTAGCAACTTTTACTGTTAAAAGACAAGCACCTTGTATCTGAGAGATACCTCTTAGCTTCCTAAAACCAGATACGTATTCAGATTAACCAAGCTTCCGAATCAAATCTCCAAACCCCTTGAGTTTCTCTCCAGCTCTCTTTCATTCTCACCCTAAAAACAACGGAACAAAACATGGTCTGAGCCACTGCCTGAACCTTGTGGCACAGTTCCAGCAATGTGGCTTTCTTCGTGCAGTAATAATGAAGCGGAGAAAAGAACTGGGAGTGGCGTGAGGAGGACAGCCAGGCTAGCTGGGCAATACTGGTGGACAGGGAGACAAACGGGACACTAGAAGTATGACAATCTGCGTGCCACTTACCTAGAAAAGGCTCTCTCTCACTAAAGAATCCAAGCAGCCAAAAGATAAAAGGGAATTTTCTTGCATACAAAAAATTGGTTAAAAAAAGTAAAACGAAGTATGAGTAAATAAATGGCCTGTTATAAGTGGAATGCCAAACCAACCTATAGTAGCACTTACTTTGATCAACAACAAGATGTTTTTACTGATGATACTAAGTTATTCAAGGTAAGAAGACAACTTGACTGAAGAAAGATTCTGAGTAGTGACCTGAATAAAACAGCAGATTCTATTCAGCAAGTCTCAAAATAATGAAAAAGAGGCAGTTCTTCAACAACCAATAGTTGTACAGGTTTTTGCACATGCTAGAAATGAATATGGGCTGAAGAGGAAACAACAATTTCACGGCAGAAAATGCCACCAATTATCTCCATGTATGCAGGAACCAGTCACAAGTCAGGAATTTAGAGTCTGGGATCGCAAATGGGGCAGGGAAAGCAAAGTATACATTTGCTCTGTTCTTATAGTCTTCCTTAAGCATCATTTGTGGCCACTTTTGGATTCCAGTTACCAAGCTATTTGGATCCACTGCAGCTACTTTTGTTCTTCTGTAATATAACTTACTGAAGTACTTACGGTCACTTCCACACTGTTAGAGGTACAAGCTCGCTGCATGAGTAGTTACCTTCCTTCCCTTTCCCTTTGAAGACTTAACATTGTAAGCAATTCTAAGATGCTGTCTTACACCACGTTATCTTTGTCAAACCAGCTACTTCACATCTATCTACTACAGGCTGAACTGCAAAATTCAGATAAAAGTGTTTGGGTTATTACTAGTACAGGCACAGATATTGATAGTTGAAGAGGTACCTCACACTCATGTTGCCTACTTGAGTAAAGTATACTTCTTAACATTTATAAAAGGTTGTATGATACAGTAAATTAGCATTTCTAAACTGTAATTACACTCAACACTTTGATCACACTTTCAAAGCAGTCTCTCTAGCACAGGGTAACAAAGCTCTAGCATAGGCTAGTATGGGTTCTAGTATTGGCAGGAATTAATAAATTCAGCTTTCTTGCAGACTGTAGGCAACACAGGCAGATGACATTTCAGTTTTTGTTAAAAAAAAAAACACCAAAAAAACAACACCAAACAAAAAAACCCCACCACCCACTCACTACATTGGAAAGCCACCAGATCTCTACAAATGGTAGAAATCCCATTTCCTTGCACATTTGGCAAACCAAAGAAGACAAAGCAGGTGAGTCTTGACATAACCTTGATGTAGTTCAACAAGTAACATGGTTTAAAACATGATTTCAGTTTGGTGCTTAGATATTTGGATAGCTCTGAGAGAATTATGGAGTGTGACCACAAAGCTGATCATGCAACTTTCTTTGTTACCAATTATATGGAGAGCTCCATCCCATGCAAAGCCAACCACACAATCCCTCAGTCTTACAGCATGTATATAACATTACTCTTGTCATCTCAGGTCCGGGAAAAGGGAGACAGAATAATGTGACTTCAAGAATATATTTTCCATGTGTAGCACAGAGAAGCCAAAACATATGCACCTACTTCTCCCTGCTAATACTTATTAAGTACATGTCTAAGATCTGGATTAGGGTTTTCTGGGAAGTTGGGTTTGCTTTTTTATAATTAAGTTACTAAACATATTTTCCTGATGTTTGGCAATTACTTCAGTTCTTCATTTTACAGAGCTATTCAACAGTCACGTAATTCCAAGTTTATTTACCCCCAATTCTCCATGCAAACTCTACCATAGCAATTGTAGCAAACATAGTCAAAAAGTCTCCTGGTTTTTTGAAGTTTGTTACACTATTTAATGCAATAGTTTGCTTCAGATGAGATCTTGTGCTTGCTTGGAATCAATATCCTCTTTAATTGTTTCTTAAGCATGTCTAACTTCCCCTCTCCTGGTAACATTTGAAAAAGTATTTTGGCTTTATTACATGTTACCTGTGAGACAGTTTTCAATTTCTTTTCAGTTATAACAATCCCATGTTGTCACACACTGGGTTAATGTTTACTTCCCAGTCTCACTGACCAGAAGTCTACGCGTTACAAGACTACCTTTGCTAAAGACTGGTATGGAAATCAGCATAACATTTTCTGGAACTGATTTTTCAGGTGTTTGTTTGCTCTCTCTTGCTGTTGTCTTGGTTCTTTAAAGAAAAAAAAAAAATCAGATATGCTATCATTACTGATTATACTGCAAAATTAACTGTACTCAAATCTTAGGAAACTTTTAAGTTGTGCAAGCAATCTTTTCCCAGATGCCTCTTAGAATGGGTAATAATGCAGTCTTAACATAAGCTAAATATTGTTTTCCTATGTATCCATTTTATGCACTTAAATAGCAGACACTGCCATCTCATCTTTGTTGAAAAAGAACTGAAGCACAAGACTGTAACAGTCAAATATCTCCTTTCAGTAAAACCAGTTAGACATAGACTATCATTTATGCTAAGGTCAAGCAACAGAATTAGAGAACAACTGCGAAAAATTCAGTTTTAAGTAATTTGTTCAGTATTACAAAGAATATCTGCTTAAATCTCAGTCCCTGTCACTGATTTTTTTCAGCATATCCTTCAATTACCTAATCCGAAACCATTCTTCCAGCAAAACATTCACATAGTCTACACTCAAGTCTTAACAGTCACAGCCTGCTTCACAGCACCACTTTGCTCCTAGAGTAGGTCCATCCTGTGCAATGGCTCAAGCATACAATGATGTATGTGAGTGTTTCAGTATGTATTAACCCGGGTGAAAGTGAAGGGTGTGGGAAGTGGAAAGGGGTTGGCAACTCCAGTACCAGTATTTTTTTCATTAAATTTGCAACAACAAATGGCATTTCTGCATTGACTTTGCAATAGGATTAACTTCCCAGTCCTGGTTGTTTTAATCGTTCTAACACAAAATGTTTTGCTAAATAGAAGGATGCTGAATGTACTGAGGAGACAAAGAGAAATCACTAGTGTTTTGGAGCAGGTTTGTGAAAATATATTGGCTAGGATCAGTCTTCTCAGGTTTCTCCAACAAAAAATTCATAGTCTGGGTTAGGTAAACCAAACTATCAGTGGTCATCCTTATTTTTAAGCCATAACATGTAGATTTGCTCTGACCAGGGTGCATATTAGCTAGTAAGATAACATCTGGCAATTAATGTTACAATCTAATAATCTCTGTCACAACAGAAACACACTGGTACTAGAAACAACGGAAACTTGTGCATGCAACAGAATCAGTCAAGAAACCTCCCTTCTGGAGTATCTCCTACACATAAGTAGCAACTATTTTCTTTAAAACAAACACAAAAAAAATGCCAAGCTTTCAGTGTTTTTACTCTAGAAAGAGTCATAGAAATAAAGGTGTTCTGCAAATGCTGTTTTGGACAGCAAATGGGTAGGGCAAAAGTTTCAGTCGTGTGGAACTAGAAATCAAAACTTTCTGTTCAAAATGAAATGCATCATGAATATGTATGAAAATTGGCATGATCAATTAAAATGGTGCCACTGTTTCAGGGGTTACATTTAAGCACTGAGTATTAGCAACTTAGAACTGCAGTTTCTGGATATTTATCTACATTTAGAACTAGACCCAATAAAAGCCTTAATGGGAACCCTGGGTTTCAACCTCTGGTTTAGGAATCACTCATATATTTAATGCAGTAATACTGTTTACTGTAAAATAAAGAAGCATTCTGTAATCTTCTGTGTTCTCTGTCTTCTTTGGGTAATGATCTCTGATTTCTTTCCTGCATAACTTCAACAGGAAGCGCAGGGCATGCTCTCACCCGTAGCAAACTACAGGCTAGTAGTAACAGCACTTTCCAAAAGGGAGAGGGACTGAAGAAGAGAAGAAAGGGGAGCCACATCCTCCTTTTCATGGGTAAGTGCACTAATTTTTAGCCTAATTTATAGATGGTGTATCAATATAACATAATCGCTTCTTCTATTTTAAGAAAAAAAATTTTTGTAAGAGACTTGACTACTGCTAATATACAGTATAATCCATGCCTATTTTCTGAATTGGGTTATTCTACCATATTAGATGAAGCAAAGCCTACCTAGGTTAAAAAAAGGCAAGTTAATTTGACAGCCTGTTTAGACCAGAGCAATTCTGGAAAAAGACTCAGAGATGGGTGTAACTACGGAATCTGAGAGTCAAACTGGCACCTGCTGAATTTAGATACAAGGCTAGTTGGTGCTTGGATCTAAGATCCAAGATGGATCACAACCAGAAACTTGCAGGACTGAGCCGTTAACAAGCCTACGTTTCAATAAGACAAGTCCTTCATTGGATTTAATCCTAGAATCACAAATTCACTTGAATTAGATGTTGCTAACATGCAGCTGAAATAATAGTTTATAATTTTTTCTATTTAGCTACTTAATAGAAAATTAGTAAACTTAAACCATCCTTATATACCATGATACCATAAGCTAGTTAAATGTTAAGAACAGTGAAGTGATGTAAACCTCAAAATATGAGGCACTATTTAAAATTACTCTGTCCTGTTCTTCCTACTGACACCACCAGTTTACTCACTTGTAGCCATGATACCTGGAGGACATGCTGGTATCCCGTGATCAACTGCCCATCTGTAAGCTCCTTCACCAACTAAAAAGCTAGGAGACACAGAAGAGGGAGTTTAAACAAAACCATATAACAAATCCCCCTTTTCTTGCAATTATTTTTTCTGTTTGGTTTGGTCATTTTTAAATTCTAAGCTGTCTACATTTCACAGAAATGTCAGCTGTAATTACATTTGGCAACCTTATGTAGTTTCATTAAAAGACTATGCAGCTCTGACATTAAGTTTAGTATTGGATAAAAGCAAGTGCTATTAAATTTGAAATTAATTACCAAATAGCACCAGCTTTTCATTGCAGCTAACACAGGACAAAGCTATCTAGAGTCTTGCTCTCTATAACAACTTCATAAGATCCTGAGGACCAACAACATGGGATGAATGAGGCGAGAATGGTAAGGTATTTCCAGTAAAGTCATCCAATGCCACAGGAATATCAAGAAGTATTTTGAGAAGTACAAAACAAGTTAAAAATAAGCCCCATTTAGAAGGATGAAGGTTTATCTCACAGAATTTTATCAAGCACTTGCAAATGAGACAAGTCTACTGAATTTTTAATATACTTGCAAAAAAAAACCACAATCTGAGAGGTTATTTTCTACTCGGTACTGAACACTTTACAGTGCTGAGACAGTACCCACTGTTGTGACAATGAATGATAGCAATAAACAAACATAGACAAGTAACTTTCAGGGAGAGGAAAAAAAGTCAGTCTCAATTATCTATACTGTTTCCCCTTAAAGAAATTAATCTGATTCCCTGAAAAGGGGAAAGTAGTAGCTGGAAATCATACATTTTCAGAAAGCTGCTGCGCAACAGTGCCAACAAGAGCAACACAATAAAGACAACTATTTCCAATCTTAACTTCATATCACGCTTTGAAATAAGAATAACACAACTGCCTAATGGACACAAGAAGTAAAGACTGAGGATTTACAGCAATTTCAGATTTATGAGTGTGAGGCTAAAGAAGTTATTTCAGTTACAAAGTAGTCCCTGGGGCCACCTACTACTGCAATTTCTGAGAACGTTATTGACACGGCAAATTTATTGGCATTAATGCTGTCAGAAGTTTTCTTAACAGTGCTGTATCCGACACCTGCGGCTTTCAGTTATGCAGTATTTTGAGGTGGTACTTTCTATCTTCTCTATGACTTAACCAATACAAGACGCATGTCCAGTCCTTCCTTATAAAAGTCTCAAAAAAAAAAGTTTATCTAGACGAGAACTTGATTTGTTAAATACATATTTCTTACCATCATTAGTGCAGCTCCAGATAAATATTGTTCATGTTGCAAGATACTGTAGAATAAGTTACTGGGTACTTTGGGAGAACTCAAGCATCTCCTATTAGGTAAGCTAGCGCTCAAGAAACAACCTGTCATTTTCATTAACTTGAGAGAAACGCAAACCATAGCCAAACCTAATTAAGTAGCATTCTCCATTGACTGTTTCGGTCTTTAAAGTAAAAGTTTTCTATCAACAATACATTCTCAGGAAGTGAATAAGCACTTGCTGTTCAATAAAACAATTTACTCAGAGAGGAAGGGTAGGTGGAGAAAGTATCAGGCTCAAATATTAGGAGTTTTATATCTGACAATTTGAATAGCACTGATCAGTCAGAAACACTGCGTTTTACAAGCAATCTCACAATTGCCTTTTTAATACTTTAAACCACAAAACCAGTCACTAGTATGTATGAAGAGTGCAAAAAAAGCACCCAAGAATGTCTCAAAACTTAAGTGATATGACTTTTACTTTGCTCACACTTGTGTCCTTAATTCCTAGATTCCTCTCCCTCCTACAAGATGGGCACAAAGAAAGTATTTTCCAGTTCTGGTCCCAAAGAAGAGTTACATTAGTTGAAGCAGATGTCTAATTGAGGTCCCATAACACCACAGAGATCACCTACCCTTTTTAAACTTTTCATAGAGAAATTAAAATAAACAGCTTCCAAAAAAAAAAAAAATAAAAAAGAGGATCTCAGTGCTTTGCTGTCTGTACTACCTATACTGTATCTCCTACAAATTGATATAGAATTAGTTGGTAAGGGACTCCTACAGGACATATAGCATGAATTCAGTTCTGCAGGTAGCCAAACACATATAATTTAAACAAGACTAAACAGTCTTTACACCATCCCAAAAAGCAAGTTCTGTGACCTGGTTCAGCTCACAGCCACACACACAATTGTACCAGCCACAGATGACAGGGTGGCAAGGGGGTGGGAACCAGCAGCCTGGCACGAGGGAACTGCTTTAGTTGCCATGAGAATCATCCATGTAGCCATGTACAAAAGCTGCAGCAGGCAAGATTGAGCAGGGCAATACTTTAAGCTGACATAAAACCAGAAGTACCTCTAAACAGCTACACCCAAGCTTGATTTATTGGGGGAGAGAGAAAATAGGGAATAAAGCCAGTGGGCTACAGAAAGCTGCCAAAATCCCACCAAGTTTCAAGAGCCTTTAGACTAATTCAAAATACAATTTTCCAAAGGGGTGGGAAAAAAACCAAACAAAAAAAAGGATGAATGAGTTTGTGCTCTGTTACTCTGAAAACTGGTTCTGCACAAACAAGATAAAAAGATCTTTCTTGCAAGTAAATCAAACGAAGAGTACTCTGCAGTTGTTACTGGCTCAGAACACACAGAAGATGAAAATATCCTTCCAGTAAGGAGTCGATGCTTGGACACAGTTTCCAGTTCCGGCAAACTAGACCATATTAATGGAAAATGCAAGTAAAGGTCTCTAAAAATGGTCTTTTTAGGCAATTTTCTCAAAGAACACGGTTATCCTGGTACTATTTGCTCGAAACAGGACCATTCAATATGGGCTGCAGGGAAACAGGCCAAGCTAAACAGAAGTGGCAGAAGGTTAGGTTCATTGAAGATGGCCAAGGAGATCCCGAATGTAACAAACTCACTTTGTAATGTTGGTTATAGCATGCGGCAATCACTCCAAAATCACTCTTACAAAGAAGAAATTGTTCTGAAGAAATACAGAACAGAGATAAAAGGTGGTGCAAGTCTTCACTCTAGGCACTTTCTCAACTACACACTGCCCTACAAGTTACACAATGCACCTATCCTGTCTACAGTACTGTAAAACTGTGAAGCAATGACAAATCCCTGGGTACCCAAAGGGGAGGGGGGGAACCTCAAACCGAAACAAAACAAAACCAAACAAAACCTAAGAAGGGATTCCTTCCCATGTGGGTTACTATTAATACTGAAAAAGGGATACTGACATGAATTCAGATATCAGGAGTACTAAGGAGTTCTAAGAAAGGAGACATTTAGGTATATCTGTAGCATCCTGCAATTCTTAAGTATCTACATTTATAAGTAAACAGATGTAAATAAGCCTTTTCCCTTAGGAAGGTCAAGGTTTTAGTGTAAGAAACAGGAAATCCTCAGACTTATTGCTACAAAACATCTAATCCATTATTCTGTGACCAAAGACCACTTCCAAAGATTCAACCAATATGTAATTGTGCCATTATAATAGTGCTTTCTTTTGTAAAGTTATACAACAAACAGGAATATCTTATGTGATAATACGTAGCACCTACAAGTTCAGTACTTTCTGCTCCTGCACACATAGGCAGAGAAAATCCTGACAACATCAAGCTGAATAAAATATAACAGAAAGGCATAAGGACTCAATTCAACAAATGCACTCATGCATCCAGGGATTCTCTACTTTAAACTTTCTAAATTTTAGTTTGGATAGTGGGATTCTGTGTTTTAAACAAGACAAGATATTGATCCAGAATGATACACTCTACAGAGCAATTTACGGTAAATTGAATACATCAGTTAGGACACTTGATCATTCCTTCCCAATAAGCTTACCATTCTCAGAATAAATTAATCCACATTTATTAGAAATTCTTCTACTGAAAATTAGAAATGTGCCACTCTGAATTGGTTTTGAACTGTTACTATAAAAACTGGTGCTGAACAGGGGTAAACAGGTCAAACTAATTGCCTCCATGTGTTCTTTTCTAGACAAGAATCTCCATAATGCCACTTTTACTAATCTCACAGTTCCTGAATTTTTCTTGTGTGGTCATGTGTCAAACATTCTGGCCAGAAAACATTAAGCTAGCTTAGATCATGCTATAGAAGCAGTCTCTACCACTAGGTTTCTTTAACAAGACAGGTTCTTAGGCTAAGCA